TACTGCTGCAGTTAGAGCACAGATGATTTGGCCTCTTTATAGCTCTTTTACTGTCGTTGTTTCATGTTGATTTGAAAAGACATCAAATCGATGAGTGCCAGGCCTTATCTAGCTGACAAAGACTACTAATTGGCATTGCACCTACTGTAATATGGCCCACCTCTGTGCCAGTGTTTACAGTTGTAATTACATTATTCCAGAGTACATGTTAATAAAGTGTTTACATAATTTCCACAACCTCTGTGGAGTATGCATGTAAGCCCAGAGATTTAGAACTATGAAAATACATAAACATATTTACTGAAATATCAGTATGAACATGCACTGTAATGTTTAATCACATGTGCACATATAAAGTACTTATTCAGTCCTTAATCTACAATGACAATCTGATTTTATGTGCAAATCTTATGTAAGTGCTGCACATCTACTGCACAACAGCAAAGTGCACTGTTCAGGGTAGTTGTGGTTGGGATTGTTGTTGCAGGATGTGTGTGGGTATGAAGGAAGATCTGAGGCCCACACTGTTGCCAAAAGTGCTGCTTGGTTGGTTCTTCCCATCATGATAGAGATGACTGGGGTCCAGCATACAAGACACTTTCAGTCTTGGTCCTAATCCTACTCACAGGGGGCTACCTCCAGACAATCTGGTCTCAGACCTACAACAGAGCTGACCGGCTTATTGAGCCATTTAGCTTTAACAACCTTGAGGCCGCCTCTCTAACACATCATAAAAAAGAGTGCAACTGAGTGTCCTGGGGCATTGTATGTGGTGAAGGACATGAGCCTCCTACCTTCTCTGTACTCCTCTGTCTGTGGTGTTTATAGGTTATTGAAGACGATAAATTGGTGCAGTTAAATGTTCTGTACGAACAGATCTTACATAGAGTATATATAGCAACTGTATTTAACATTAACCTTGTTAGCCATTTGGTTTTCTGTCATGTCAGACTAACCCTTAAAAAATTGACAGCATCATAGAATTATTCTAATGTCTGATTAGAATGGGTGCTCCATGATGTGCAGCACATGACAGAGAGAAGGAATTCAGTGCAAGGGACCTGTCATCTCTTATTGCTTTTCACCCTTTATAAATCTAAGTCCAACCACTGTCTTTATTACAGTTCTTAAGCCCCACTCCTTTAACCCCTTTTATTGTCTCCTTTCCTTAGGAAGCTTGGCTCGGAGACTCCGACTTGAGATGTTGTCACCACGCTGAGCACAGTCACCGCCTAACCTCCATACCCCAAAATGAAATCTCTCTCTTACAGTAAGTCTTCAAACACTTATTTTGCAAAAAAAAAATTAGACTGCAATCCAAGGTAATATTTTAATTTAACTCCCCAGTTTCTTGCAAAAGTAACAGGCTTCTCATGTCCACAGTGGTGATCCAGCCATGCTATAGATAGTTAAACAGAAAGGATAGGACAGTGATTCAGTGTTGAAATACCAACAGTATTTTTCACAGGTCTCTCCCCTAGCTCACGAAGTCCATTCTCTACCTGGCCTTTTGTACAATAGGGCATTCCTTGCCTTTCTACTTGTGACTGAAAAGAATTCAAAGGTTGCCACATCCAGCACACTAAGGCCATACAGAGGTGGCAAGTTCCTTCTTTAGCTCATCATCGCTTCTGTTTTAACTATGTTTTGCAATTACTCTTACTGTTAGTACGGATACTTCCCGAAACACCCTGGATAAGAATGCTAACTGTTGCATTACTTAAACTTAAGAAGATTAAAAGAAGTTATCTTGGAGGTGCAGTCATTTGTGTAAAGGGAGCTCCACCAGTGGAAAGAGTACACAGACCTCACAGGGGTTCACCAGTGCTGATTGTCAGGATATTGGATTTAACTTTGCCCAGCCTCATTTGCTCTCTCCTACTTATCAGAAAGCTGCTGATCCCCTGACAGGTGGAGGCGGGTGTGGTGAGTTGGTGAGATTAGTTTGAAGCAGTTCATGGATCAAAGCCGTAAACACTGAGCTAAAGTCCACACCAGAAAGGGTCCTTCTGTATACTTCTGGCTTGTACTCCATGTATCTACAGGAACTGCAGAGGGTTCTGCTGGGTCTATATGGTCTGTGGTAAGATCCCGGTGGGTCAACACAAGACTGTGAAAGGACTTTACGACAGGCACAGTGACAGGCCTGTAGTCATTAAAGCCTTCGATACAGAGTTATCTGTGGATAGGACTACTATGGTTCATAGCAACTAATTAGAGGTTCCCTCGTTACTGTTATTGCTCTAACAACCAAACAACAAGTACACTACAATTAGTGTTGTGTCACTAAACAGCCCCTCAAATCCAAGGCCAGGAATTCATGTGGGTGCCTCAACCGAAACAGAAATAGTAATCAGTAAACAATTAGCAATGCACATTTATGCTGCACATTCTATGCGAAAATGTGAAGAACCCTGAGAAGCACCTTCCACGGAAATGGTAGATAAGTAGGCATTTCAACATAGATTGTAAAAACTGTAGCAAGCTTTGTAAAGGCTGTTTGAGTTTCAGCTAAGCTGAGGCACTCTGGATCAAGTTGGTTATAAAAAATACAGAAATCTGAATGAAATTAATTCTAAAACTGCAGCCTTTCACCCTTTGTTACACCACATTATTCCTGTGACCCATTGTTTTCTAATTTTTAAATAATTTATAATTTTTTTCTTGCTCACCTCTCTTGTGTGTGTGTATATAATTTATTTATTTTATTTATATAAACACTCATTTCTAGTTTTACAGTCTGAGTAAAAAACTGTGTAACTGGTGTCATAGACAGGGCGGTATGTCAGAAAGTATGCACAGTGAACTAATATAGTGCTGGTCACTGGATTTGTTTACAGTAAAAAACAGGGAGTAATGCAGACATTAGACTTTTCAGTTTAAACACAATTTTACTTGAGTGCAAATTGATGGTAACATCAAATGATTAATTGCTAAATGGCCAATGCCCTTGTTGAAAGTTTACATAGTATATTTAGAGAAAAGGGGCTTGGTTAAACCGCAACCAATGAAGATGCCACAAAGTCAATAAAGTGATGAATGGCTGTTACATATCCACTGTGGTGTACTCTGTGCATTATCTAAGGCATGTGCCTTTAAAGAGCCTGTGAAATGAGCTCAACATATCTTCAGGATATGTGGCAAACTTGATCTTTCATGCTTCACTGAAGTATCAGTTGCTGGTGCCAAATGCTGTCAAATATTAATGTCAAGTGTGTTTTCATTTTCTCCATACTTGCAGACCATGTGGTGAAGTTATGATCCTCTTTTGTGGTGGCACAAACAGCAGATTAGGCCTCGGGGCTATTACGGATGTCAACCAGGTTATGTTTCTCCAAAGGATATCTTCTTTTTTTTTTAAACTAGAACATACACTAGTGTGCACACACGCACACAAAGACACACAGAGTTCACTTTTCATTTAATATGCAAACTGAAACTGTTGTTTATTTTCTGATGAAAGAGGATTCATGCTCAATTATATCTTAATGGCTTGGATAAAACAGCGTGCTCATGCCAACAGATATTCATTTGACTATTTTTTTTTTCCTAAGGTCAAATCTGTCTTACATGTTCTAAATTCACTGAAGCAAGAGTGGACTGACCTGACCCAGACACGCACGCGCACACCCACATACCCTCTAAAACCTTCTCCCTTCTACAAACTCCCATTCACACACGCACGCACGCACACACCTCAGTAGGATTTCGGCGATTGATTTCGAGGGAAACAAAAGCGCGCATGGCTGGACCGACAGAGGGCGTGGGTGCGCGTGAAGCGGGCGCGTGCCGCTGCTTCAGGAATGTTAAACGCATAGATCGATAAGCACACAACTTCTGGTGCAGGTGAGAGTGAGAGATGAAAGAGAAAAATGGAATTCAAGTCACGGAGACAGAAGGGGGAGTCATGTGGAGATGAAAAAGGAGCTCAGGGATGATATGTGACCTCTCTGCAGTTTGTCAGTCTTTGTTTACTCCATACACTGTTCAAGTAATATCTGGTACACAGAACTCTCCCCCCAACGTCAATAATATTATTTTGGGGGAACTCCCAGCTTTGCAGCCAGGCCTGTCCTACAACGGCCTGACGAGCTTGGAAATTAGAGATGCAGAAGAGGTTTGCAAAGCGGCAGCGTGGAAGCCCCGGCAGTGTTCAGCAGCAGCAGCGGACCGATGCTGCATTGCGCTCCTCACCGAGCAGGTCTGTCCACCGAGAGACGACGTCGTCGCAGCAGCAGTGTGTGTGTGTGTGTGTGTGTGTGTGTGCGTTTGTGTGTAAAGGGTATTGGATATCCCCCCCATAAAAACCCCGGCAGTGTTCAGCAGCAGCAGCGGACCGATGCTGCATTGCGCTCCTCACCGAGCAGGTCTGTCCACCGAGAGACGACGTCGTCGCAGCAGCAGTGTGTGTGTGTGTGTGTGTGTGTGTGCGTTTGTGTGTAAAGGGTATTGGATACCGCCCACATGAAACAACTGAACACATATCTGAGGAGCCGATTATAAAACTGTCATAAAGGAATGTCAAATACTAGCCTATTATTATTAAATATAAAGCGCATGTAACCTGCTGACTTATTTGCCCCTACAATACTGGTTGCAGTAGCAGACTAACAGGAAAGCAGTCAGTCTACCAATAAGATGCTTACTGTGTGTAGCCTACTACCTAAAGTATAGTATAAATTACTGGTCTACATTGTAAAGTACTGAAAGCCACAGATATTGCCATTTCAAATTCGGTTAGATAGTAGGCTATGTGACAGTTTTTGTGTCTTTTAGAGAAGAATGGATGAAGCCCTATACTTTCCCCGGGAAAATAGCTGCACCAGCAAAAATATGACTGAGCACTGGGCTGACTTGTATTGAAGCCAGATCACTCTCTTTTCTTTAGATCTCTGTTTGTTCTTTGGTTGAATATGTGCATAAAGATATTTGCCCACCAGGAGCTGTCAGCAGCCGGGACAGCAGAGCTATTTAATCTTCCTATGTGACAGGAGGGGGGTGAGGTCTGTCCCCGGTAACCGTTATACACACACGGCGAACCTACACCGCCTCTGCTGCCTCTCCCGTTACAGCTCAGCGATCGAGTTACGCGGCCGGGGAAAATGTTGCAGTAGCGAAGGGAGAGAGAGAGAAACGGAGAGAGACTGCAGTATCGCTGTAGACCGGCGGCAGCAGCAGTCCCAGGCAGTGCAGGTGAGAGGATTAAAAAAAAAAAGCCAGAGGAGGAGGAGGAGGGGGAGGCGCGTGTGGAGGAGAGAGAGAGAGACAGAGAGTGAGAATGCGGGACTCTTGGAAAAAGACGCATCCACACTCGGTCCATCACCGAGACATCCATCCCGAACCCAGGCTGAACAGGATTACGTTAAATTGATGCTGATGTGGAGCTCTACCTTATAGCCCATAAAGAGAGGATCTTCTGTTTCTGTTTTTTGTTTTATTTGAAAATAAATATTATGAGAAACTCGCTCTGAAAAGCACTCGTGCCTCCTCACAACTTGCGTGAAGGAATCCGGTGGCTTGGCACGTTGCTCCACTGCGGGGAAAAAAAAGCAAAACGCAGCTGGATCTGAAGGTAAGAAAAGATCCGGTAACAGCATCCCAAAGACTTTTTTTTTTAAAAGTGCTGTTTATTCCTCTCTGGGGATGTGAGTTAATTTTCCTCTGCGTCCGGACAGCAGAGCAGTTTTTTTTTCCTTTTGTGTAGTGATGCTGCATTGCAGTTTCTAACTGTAGAAAACGCGAGAAAAGCCGCTGTCCCAAATGTGACTGGAAAAAAAAACCCCAAACAACACACAACTTATGAATGGCATAATAAACTGACAACATATGAAACGGGATAGTTCTCCAGTTCACGATAAAGAAAGTGAGGAAGAGTGAAACGGATTAATCAGAGGCTGATGAATTAGTGTTTTCTTTTTTCGCAGCGGGATGGATTTTTTGGCAAATCGGTGGCATGAGCAGCGCAGCACTGGAGCGGGATCATTATTGTAGAAGTTGAAATTCAGTGATCATTGGAATGAACTACTGAGAGTGCAGAAGCTTTTTCCCCGGATCTCAGGCGGCAGTCCGCAGAGAGCGATAGGGAGAAGAAAGGATAAATCAAACACCCACGCTGTGAGATACATTAGACCACAAAACACCAATAAAGAAGAGACAAACCGCACCTCAGAGGCAAACAGAGCGGGAAGGACAGACGAGAAGGAGCCATGCAGAGGCTTGGTGCAGTGCACTCCTCCGCAGCGCAGGCTCTCAGCCTCGTGGTCTTAGCGCTGCAGCTGCTGACTCAGCTACCGAGTGCCGACTCAGCTCTCCGGTACCGGGTAGCGGAGGAGGGTCCACCTGACGTCAAGATTGGCAACGTGGCCATCGACCTAGGCCTCACGGCGAGTTCAGGCAATGGGGATGTCACCTTCGCCCTGGAGAGCGGCTCAGAGTACTTCAAGATTGACAATGTGACAGGTGAGCTGACAACAGGCACACGGCGCATCGACAGAGAGAAGCTCCCACAGTGCCAGATGATATTTGATGAAAACGAGTGTTTCTTGGACTTTGAGGTATCAGTGATAGGACCACTGCAGAGCTGGGTAGACCTGTTTGAAGGCCGCGTAGTCATAACAGACATCAATGACAACACACCATCCTTCCCTTCACCTGTGCTCCAGCTCTCAGTTGAGGAAAATCGTCCAATAGGGACCCTTTACTTGCTGCCCACAGCAACAGACAGGGATTTTGGGCGAAATGGTATTGACCGTTATGAGTTAATCCAGGATGGTGGAGCTGGTTCAAGTTCCACAAGACGCACAACTGGTGGAAATCCCACAACTAGAGTAGATGGACTAGGGGACCGAAGGGGTAGAAGTGGAGACAATGGAGGGGGAGTCAGGAGCAGTGTGTTTGAATTACAAGTTGCAGACATACCAGATGGTGAAAAACAACCACAGCTTATTGTGAAAGGAACATTGGATCGTGAGCAAAAAGACTCATATGAGCTAGTCCTTAGGGTTCGAGACGGAGGGAACCCACCTCGGTCCTCCCAGGCCCTGCTTCGTGTTTCCATAACCGATGTGAATGACAACAGCCCACAGTTTGAGAGGTCCACGTATGAGGCAGAAATGGCAGAAAATGCTCCTCCAGGTACACCTGTTCTCCAGGTCAGAGCTTCAGACCGCGACATTGGTGTCAATGGGCAGGTGGAGTATGTTTTTGGAGTTGCCACTGAATCTGTCAGGCGTCTCCTGCGGCTGGATGAGGCAACTGGATGGCTGAGTGTTCTCCACAGGATCGACAGGGAAGAGGTGGCTCAACTGAGGTTCACAGTAATGGCCAAGGACAGGGGTCAGCCTCCCCGCACTGACCGAACCACTGTGGTTTTGGCTGTCCGGGATGAAAATGATAATGTCCCAGTAGTAGAGATTCGAAAGATTGGACGGATCCCTGTTCGAGATGGTGCAGCGTTAGTACCAGAGAACGTTCTGGTGGACACACCAGTCGCCCTGGTACAGGTGTCAGACCGAGACCAGGGAGAGAATGGGGCTGTGACATGCACAGTGGTGGGTGATGTCCCATTCACACTGAAGCCAGCTGGTGAAACACTGCTCCCACCCCTACCTGCAGATGAAGCCTTTGACAGGTAAGGAAAACCAAAGGTAACCTTTTACAGTACACTGCCCAAACCAGTCCTGGTGCAGTTACAGTAGTTAAAAATGAAAAGGTAAAGAGCAAACTGCTTAACATCTGACTCTATATCTGATAATAATTTACTTGAGCACACACTCTTAGATACTGTAGGAACCAATATCTATTAATCACTTGCTGTGAGCTGAGCAGGATGATGCATTTTCTAATTGAAGGACAACAAAAATGGTAATGCAGTGATAACCATGAAGCAATGATGCAGTAGCTCAGTATGAAGCAGCACTTAATCTGAGGGGGGACAAAAATATTAACCAACATGCTCATAATAAGCAAATGCATGTGCCATTAAGCACCTCCATTAAGCACCTGATGCAAAGTTAACCGGAACAGTTAATTTAAAGCTGGATATTTTTCATTAAAAAAGCCATAATTACAAGACACTGGTTCATTAACATGTTATTTTGCAATCTGTCCTAAAGCAATTTACAGTTATCTACTGGTGTATACACGCCTTGATTCAGAGTTATTCAGGAAATACATGCAAATTATACATTAATTTAAAGTTAGTTTCTGACTCATTCCTTGGTATCTTCTGAGGTATACATTTTAATAAAATGTTTCCAGTTTTAAAACTTAACATCAGTCACAGATAAACAGCATGCATACGTGCTGCATCAGGGGTTAGCATTGTTTTTACCCTATGGTGTCTAATCTTGACAACTACTCATTAAGCATACAGTTGCTACATGCCTCACCCACGCGACTGCTCCAAGATGAATTTCTAAAATGTCTTTATTTCCACAGAGTTTTCAGAGTGTTGTTGCATGCAAATTTCACTCAAACTTGGTTCAAGTGCTGCCACTCACTCGCAAAACTAAAGAGTAATTAGAACGTCATACAATCTGAAAACCTTGAGCACAAATATTGATTAAAATCAAGGGTTTTATGCTTTATAATAATATTACTCCAATGGTGCAGACTGCAGATGTTAATTCTTCTAATTAATTTAAAAAGATATTTTCTAAAGCTGCTGTTTGGAGAGAAATTGGGAAGGCCATCCTAGGATAGTGCTGCTTCTACTTATGTCACCTATATATCAAGGTTGGCTGGTGTACTGACTGAAGGGCTGCCCTTCTTTAAAGAAATTCAGAGTGGAAATAATAAACACGAGAGTTCTTCAGCCAGTTTATTAGTTGATTGAGTTTAAAAAAATATTAGTTTTCTCTAGTATTATTGTCTTTCTGCAGAAGACTACATTCATGCAGGAAGATCTCTTAAAAGCCAGTGTGTAATAAAGATTGGAGCTGAAATGATTAGATGAATAATCCAAAAGTCAACAGCTATGCTGACAGTCAGTTTTATTGTTTCTGGCATCAGAAGAACTCATTCTCTAGTCTCAGCTTTCCAAAAGTAGGGATATGCTGCTTTTCTTTGTTTCATATACAGCAATTATAGTCTACATATTTTTGGGCATTGGACTGTTGGTTGGACAACGCTAGACATGTGAGGATGTCACGTTGGGCCCAGTGAAATGAAAACAGCAAATTTTAACTATTTTCTGTTATTGTTTTATCATTTAATAAAACATTCCTCGTAAAAATTCAATGCGGTTACTAATGACATATTTTGAGTCAACTGACACCCTGGTGACTGATAAGTCAGCTAATTGGCTTAGAGGGAGCGGCATTAGTGTTTTGTTTGACTACTTTGGCAGATGAAATCTACATTATTTACATGTAAAGCAGAAACTGCAATTATGAAATGTATTTTCTAATTATTTTGACAGGAACAAGAAGAAATACTTCTTACACACTTCTGCCCTGCTGGACTATGAGGCCACCAAAGATTACAGTGTTACCATTGTGGCAGTAGATTCTGGAAGCCCCAGTCTGTCCAGTAACAGCTCACTGATGGTGCGAGTGGTAGATATTAATGATCATGCTCCAACCTTTGCCCAGAGTGTTGTGGAGGTTCACTTTGCTGAGAACAACTCACCCGGTGAAAGGGTAGTCACTGTGGTGGCCACAGATGCAGACAGTGGCAAGAATGCAGAGATTGCATACTCCTTGGACCCTGCTGCTAATGGGCCATTTTATATCGACGCAGATAATGGCGATATCCGTGCCAATGGGGTTCTGGACCGTGAACAGCGAGAGAGGTATGAACTCAGAGTTATCGCCAAGGACAAGGGCACCCCCTCTCTGCAAGGCTCCGCCACCGTTGTTGTTCAGGTGACCGACCGCAATGACAATGCACCAAAGTTTGTTCAGGAAATCTTTACATTCTACGTCAAAGAGAACCTGCTTGCCAACAGCCCAGTTGGCATGGTCACTGTGACTGATGCTGACGAGGGTGAGAATGCAGAACTTAGTTTGTTTGTAGATATGGATGGAGTTGATGAGAAGAAGGCAGGAGAGCAGACTGTGGGAGAAGACGGAGAGAAAGAGCAAGATGAAGAGGTGTTTTCCATTGAGAACAACACAGGGACTATTTTCTCTTCTGCATCGTTTGACCGTGAAAAGCTTTCCACTTACACTTTCCGTGTACGAGCTGTGGACGGAGGGGAGCCTCGCAAAACTGCCACTGCCACTGTCTCGCTCTTTGTGACAGATGAAAATGACAATGCCCCATCAATCACTTCTCCAGCCAATGAGTCCTACACCCTTCTTCCACCCGCCAGCAGCGCCCGCACCATAGTCAGGACTGTAACGGCGATAGATTCAGACACAGGCCCAAATGCAGACCTTCGCTATGCTCTAGTGGGAGGAAATCCCTTCAGACTGTTTGAAATTGGCCACACCAATGGAGTGATCACCCTGGCAGAACCCCTGGAGCGCCGCCACAGAGGTTTGCATCGCCTGGTGGTCCGGGTCAATGACAGTGGAGTGCCCTCTCTCTGTGCCACTGCCTTGGTTCATGTCTTCATCAATGAAAGCTTGGCCAATGCCACCCTAGTGGATGCACAGGTAATTCTTATGTCTAAGGATGTGTTTTTCAAACTGAATTCAGGAGCAGCAAGTAAAATATATCAAAATGCATGCGACTAGAATAAAGAAAGAAGCAGAAGCAGCAATGAAACTCACTGCTGTTTTGTATGTGCAGACTTCTATTGTTCCACAAAGTTGGTAGTGATAACCAGTAATAACAGTCATGATACAGTCCTTTGGTCCATTCAAATAATGGTCACATATTACAGTGGAGGAGGGCGGTAATGACAGTTGATTGTAGCAGTTTAATCTAAACTGGAATGACTTTTTTTTTCTTGATAGAATGAGAAAAATGCACAATTACCGCAGTCTGTGGGGTGTTGCAATTTTCCACCCATTTTTGAGGAAATAATTGTGTCTATATTTATCCCTGATAAAGAGCCATGTTTCACTTTTGAAGCATATTGGCAGTGCCTGCTTCTTTGTGGTTTGATTCATACTGGAGTGTGTTCTGTGTCCAGCATGTGTTCTTATAATGACTACATGGTTAAAATAACTGTTATTACTGAAGTGGTTCTTCTTTTATGGTACATTGAACTCAGAGCTGAGAGCATTAGGTGTGTGTGTGCGTGAGAGAGAGAGAGAGAGCGTATTAGAGGTGAGTGTGTTAGAGATCCAGAATGAGAGAGATGGGCCTGTCCCAGTTCTGGCCCTGTAATACAGAATAGGTTGAATTATGTTCATTTGAATAGAAGCTGTAGTTCAGCAGTGTCTCTTCACTATAGGCCAGAATATTGATGAGGTTGTGGAGTTTGTGTTGTGTTATGCAGCACATTCTGAGCACAACAGAAGTGGTCAGGTTCAGAAGGAAGTAACTAAAACCCACTATAAACTGTAAATGAATCATTCCTACATGGGCAATAAAGAGAATGTGAAATAGATGTGTACTAATCCATTCATTATTATTGAATAACTCTGTGCAGTCTTCTGGAACCGAGGAATTCACAGCAAGATTAGAGCTGGCTTGAAAGATTCACACTGAGGTACAGAGGTAATTGACTAGAGTCAGACATAACTTAGATACCAGAAATAACTACAGCAGCATGAGTTCAAATTTAGCTTAAGCTATGCTGGTGGAAATTTTTCTCTCTTCTCTGCCCTCATATTAATCAAGTGAACTTCCCATTATGCTTTAAAAATGTTCAATTAAGCTATAAATGCTGGCAGGTAATAATTACTAAAACTTCATCTCTACTGTGGAAAAGTAATTTGTATTGACTAATAATTAAATCGGCTCAGCGGCCTTGTGGTTATAGTGTTTGTTCAGGACTAACAGCATGTGGTTTTAAGCTTTGTTTGGAACGCATTCTCATATGTTCTCTGAGGAAATGGTCTTCAACTGTCAGGTGTTCCCATGTAACAAGACGTAAACAGTGTAACCCTAAAATAGCTCTGGGACACTTGAGAGGAAGAGAACAGTCAGCCTGAAAGGAGGCATGCATCTCCAAAACTGGGTCAAAGCACCAATTTGTTTGGTATCCCAAAGTGCCATGCAATCCTTAGATAACTCTTACCTTGCAAGACTCAAAGTCTTCTATGGCACTCTGTCTGACATAGTATGTTAAAAAAAACAATACCTAAAGTTTTTGATCTCTGAGGACACACATTATATTGCAAATGTTTGCAGCAAAAGCATCTCAGCTGCAGTCTTCTCATGGTGTTGCTTTTCTCCTTGGTTCAAATTTGAGTCAAACAGAGAATAAAATATATGCACCCTGGGAAATGTATATTATTCCTAAGAGAGTAATGTAAACCTCATTTCTCATTTTCAGTTATGTTACAGTAAAATTATTTGACAGTTGCATAGCAACTACAATAACATTGTGCTTTGTGTGCCCTCAGGAGTTCTTGGCATCATTGTTTTGAATGATACTTAAAACAAAATCTTGTGTTTTAACAGGGGGAAAACCACATCTGTATTCATAATCACAGCCTGAGGGTTTTGACTTGGAGGCAACTTGGTTTCCAAAAGTCTTGTTTTATGGCACTTTTTTATTTGAGCAAAGCCAAACAACTGAGTACAGACAGAAGGCATAGGGGGTTGAACATTAGCCGGTAAGCAGGACACCTCATGAAGTAACACTGTCGCCTAAGAGTAGAATACAAATTGAACAATCAAGAGGGCGAGGATTAGAACAGAACACTTGGTAAGCGGTGGAACAATGGTGGTGACAGGTGGAATTAACTGCAATGTGCTTAAATGACCGGCGCCATTGAATCGAACAATAGGGTGTAATATGTCCAGGCCGGTATAAAAGCCGTCTTTGATTACAATATGCATAGTTTAGTTTGACTGTAGGGAGGAACTTGGCGGAGTCATTTAGTAGAAGTCATTGAAGAGAGAATACCTCCATCTCATAATGATGTCAAACTGAGTGGTGGATGGATGCCAGATGTAATTAGGGAAGGAAAACAGCTACCACTGCTGCAGCACCACAGTAGAAAATTATTCCAGCCTTTTCTATCCAACAGAACTGAGCGAACCACATGTTGGGTAATTAGCTTCAATATGATGCTGCGGAGTTTGAGTTAGAAGGAGAAGGAATTTCGTCATGCTATCTTGGACACGGTTGTCATTTGGGAAAGCGTGAATGAATTGAGCTACAACCAAGATCAGGTTTTCTATGCTTGAGTCAATAGCATGATCAGGGGAGAACTCCTTGTCTTGGTCACAGCAGCAGCATCTGCAGTGACATGCAGATAACAGAATCCTTGACGACTGGAGCAGATAGACGGGGGTGTTAAGTCGAGCCAGAACAAAGCTCAGCAGAATGAAAGATTCCACTGGGACTTTAGGATGTGTCAGAGGGATGCGCTTGACTGCAGCGGTGAACACTGAGCTGTCCTGTGTGTGCCCATACACACACACACAGACACGCATACATGCCTGCACTTGCATGACTAGATAGTTAACACTCAGTAGGGAATCTCACACAAGCATGTGAGCCGACTCACAACCATACACCTTGCACCTTCTATGTTCTGTCACATATGCCTGCAGGCACACTCTCGAATGCACACACTCAAACTTGGCTGTTGCACTTTTGCGTAGTATATGTACATATCAGTGACGTGGGGTCAGGGGAGGCAGGTGAGGCAGAGCCTCCCCTGTCAATCTTGAAAAGAAAAAAAAAGTTAACCATAAAA